GAGGGAGGGAGGGAGGAAAAAAGTTAAGTGTTGATGAGGATATGGAACTCTCATTGCATTACTAGCCAGAATGAAAATGGTACAGCCTCTATGCAAAAGCAGATAGCAGCAGTTCCTCAAAAAAATAAAATCACCACACGACACAGCAGTTGCTCTTCTGGGTATACCCTCAAACAATTGGAAACTGGGACTCAGATATTTATTTATACACCTTCATTCACAGCTGCATTATTCACACTCGCCAAAAGGTGGCAGCAACCCAAGTGTCTATCCTGGGATGAATGGATAAGCAAGATGTGGCCCATGAGACAATGGGATATTCCGTAGCCTTAAAAAGGAAGGCGATTCTGGCACACACCACAACATGGGTGAACCTTAAACTCATTGTACTGAGTGACGTAAGCCAGGCACAAAGGGACGGATGCCGGGTGATTCCACTCGCAGGAGGTCCCGAGGGGAGTCAGATCCACAGAGACAGAAAGTAGATGGGAGGTGCCAGCGGCTGGGGGAGGGGAATGGGGAATTAGTGCCGAATGGGGACAGAGGTCAGCAGAACCTCGAGTTTGAGAATGACCTGCCATGACGGGTAGCCCCCTCCCTATCACAGGGGTCTCCCCAAGCCTGCCTGTCCTCTCAGAACCCCCTCTGGACTCCCCTGCCCTCAGTCCGGCCAGTCTTGAGGCACTCACATGCACGTAGGGCTTGACCCTGTTACAGGGAAACCAGCCAACTTCATTGGTAGCTGTATTCCTGCCCTAAAACGCCAGGAGGGAAAAACATGGAGAGAGAGGTCATAGGCATCTGCTCGTATGTGTGTCCACCTTCCTATTTCATGGCCACTCTGCCCGTCCATCGCTGTCTCTGTGACCTGGATGACTCAAAATGTGCTGAGCAGTATCGACTTCCTGAGAAGACAGCCAGCTCAGAGGGCCCGGCCAGCCTTGGAAATCTCTACCTACACCACCCTCCCCAGGCACCTCCTCTGGACCAGCCTTCCCTCGCCAGAGTGCAGGGAGGCCATGACCCCACTTCCCAGGGTCACCCACACCCTTGACCCCCACACTCGGGCCCTTCTCCCTCACTCCCACAGCCCCAGCCTGTACCTCCCACCAGTTCTGCTCAGCCTCGGCCTTGGTGAGTTCCACGATGTCTCCGGGGTTGAGCCGTAGAAAAGGTCCCAAGGCTCCCGGGGGTGGAGGAATCCCGTAGTACTCCTGGCAAACCTCCATCTTGGGCAGCCCTGGAGGGGAGAAGAGAGACTGCCATCTGTGTCCCACCGTGGGCTGGGTACTCAGGGATGCTCAGACCTGAGTCTCACCGCCCACCGGGGCAGCAAACTTTATAAAAGATTGACAAGACCAAGCGGTGGCCAGGATGGGGGCACCTGGAACTCTCCTCCTACATTGCTGGTGGGAATCCACTTTGGAAAGCTGTTTGCAGTCTCCACTAAAACTAAACAGATGTCTACCCAGCGATCCAGCAATTTCCCAAGAGAAATGGAAACACATGTCCATGAAAGTCATAGGCAAAAATGTTCCCAGCAGCTTGGTCCACAAGAGCCAAAAACTGGCAACAAACCAAATGTCCTCAATAAAATGGATAAACAGCCCAGCTGGTGTGGGCCAGTGGTTGAGCGTCAACCTATGAACCTGGAGGTCACGGTTTGATTCCCGGTCAGGGTATATGTATGGGTTGTGGGCTTGATCCCCAGTGTGGAGCACTGCAAGAGGCAGCCAACCAATGATTCATTCTCATCATTGATGTTTCTATCTCTCTCCCTCTCCCTTTCTCTCCCAAATCAGTACAAATATATTTTTAAAATAAATTGGATAGAGTGTGATATAATCATACAGTGGAATATTATACAGCAATGAAGGAGAACAAGCTACTGCTACCAGCAACCACATCAATGAATCTCACCAACATTGTGCTGAATAAAAGAAGCCAGATGTAGTAAGGGCACATACTGGATATATGCACACATACACACACTCATATATATTTCCTCCTACTGAGCACATTTCGGTTGTTTCTAATTTTTTACTACTGCAAATAAAGCTGAAATATGTATACATGTAGGTATATCAATATAAATAAATAATAGACATGAAATCTGACTCTTTACACTGACTCTGCGTGACTATTAGCAAATGGTTTATTTCTCTCAGACACACAAAATTGTTTTCACTTCTTTCATAATGCTTTGCCTCCCTGCCTCCTAGCCTTTGCACATGCTGTTCCCTCTGCCTGGAATACACAGTGCCCCATGCTGACTCACCCAGCTCATTCTTCTTTTTGTCCTGAGCCCGGCGATGTAGCCTATCCTGGAGGGAGAGACCAAGAAACCAGCTTGGCTACCTGAGCCCAGCCTGGGGACTCCTCAGCCCCTATCTGAGCACCCAGAAAAGGGCCATGCCCACTGCTGGGGTCTCCCGAGGCCTCCTGCCATTACCCCCCAGTATTTCCAGGCACACACAAAAGTCTTACCTTCTTCATAGTTCCAGCAAAATCTATGGGAGGGAAAAGAAAGGTTAGGATGGGAAATACCCCACGCAGAACCAAGCCCACCCCTGCCCTGTCTCCCACTGGTACCTTGCCCATGGCGGCCACAGGGAGGTACCCTCCCCAGACACTCTTTGTGTGCAGGTGCCCGGCACCGATGACAACGGTAGCCCTGGTAGAAGGTGCCTCTGGCATGCAGGAGATGAGATAAAGGAGAGTCAGTGCCGTTGATGAACACAGCCAATCATTCACCATTAACATGAAGGGTTGGGTACTCTTTAGAGCAGGAGAGAGATGGAGAAGCTTAAGATCAAAGGAGAGCCTCCCACCTCCCCACGCAGGGGAGCGATGGCTGGAGGAGCCCCTTTAAAGAGGAAGTGCTGACCAAGCCCAGGACCCAGGCCCATCCTCTCAGACTCCCACCTCAGCAGCATCTGGCAAGCCTTGCAGGACGTGGTCTCCTCGAAGGAGAACATCTGGAAGTCGTGCCCGTTGGCTGTGGCATTCTCAGGGTAGATGTTGGAGCTAGAGAGGGGAGACAGTTCCACACGATGGAATAGTATTCAGCCATAAAAAAGAAGAAAGTGCTCCTGCATGCTGCCACTTGGAGGTGTCAGTACTTCCTTCCTTTTTACAGCTGAATACCATTCCACTGCATGAATATATTGAATTGTGTGTAGGCATTCATTTACTGATGGACATCTGGGTTGTTGCCATCTTTTAGCCACTGTGGATACTTTGGGCCAGTGCTGCTATGAACATGGGAGGAGACAGAAAGCAGACTGGTGGTTGCCAGGGGCTGGAGGGGAAACTGGGGAGTAGCTGCTTCACGGATGCAGGGTCTCCTTTGGGGGTGGGGATGAAAATGTTTTGGAATTAGAGGTCATGGTTGCACAAGAATGTATGCACTAAATGCCACTGAACTGTACATTTTAAATTGGTTCAATTTTTGTTATGTGGATTTCACTTCAAGAGGAAGAACAAAAAAAAAAAAGGAGAAACAGTTCCAGGTTGGTAACCAAAGCTTGCACAGAACCTTGGCATTCTGGGGATGCAGACAGCCTCCAGCCTGTCCCTCCAATTTCCCAGATGGTGAAACTGAGGTTCAGAGGAGTCCCACAGAATGTCAAAGAAGATGTGAGACAAGAGCATAGAATTGCCTCTCAGCCCCTGCACCTGTGGGAGTCCTCTGAGGGTATAAGGACGGAGGAGGAGGGGTCTCACATGGCCATCTCGAACTGTTCCATCCACTTCTTCTTCAGTTCTCGCGTCTTGAAGAACAGCTCATAGCCCTGAGCACCTTGGTCCTCGATCAGGAGAAACATGTGAGTCCACTGCAGGGAAGCGGGGTTCAGAATGAAGTGGAGTGAAGTGGAGCCACATGTCCACCACCCCTACCCCAGTAAGGAGAAAATGGTGGGTCCGGTACCTGCCTCTCTGCCCCCAGGAAAACATGCATTTACCGTGGCACACACCCATATATCTAAAATCACACACACACACACACACACACACACACACACACTCACACACACACACTCACGTCTGAGACAAATGCTCACGGGCATTGCAAAGGCCAAGAGGCGTGTCTCAAGCACTGGTGCTTCCCAGCAATGGGGTCCCCAGTTCTGGCCTCAGAACCCCACCTTCTTGTTGTCACGCTCTCCCGAAGAGTCATCTCGAACCTGGAAGCTGTGCAGGTTCACAAAGTCCTTGAGGTCGTAGGAGTCCCCTCGGCGCTTGCAGATGAGCAGGGCTTTGTCGAGCAGGAAGGCGTACCTGGGAGCAGCTGGGTCAGGTGCTTCTGCCTGGCTTCTCCCAACAATCCCGACCAGCTCTCTGCCTGGTTCCTTCCACCCTCCAGGTCCACCCCGCTGTCCATCTAGGTCCTACCATTCTAGGACTCCTACCCTTCTCTTCGTGGCCAACTTGGCCCTGCCCACCTGCCCATCTTGCCCTCACCCATGTGTTCCCTGCTGGCCTGGCCATCTGCTGGTCTTGGCTCCACGCAACTATGCTGTCCTACCCACATGCCTATTTAGAAACCTGGCTCCGCCCATGCCGAAGCTCCACCCAGATGTGTTAACTCCACCCACCGACCTACAGAAGAACCTGGGCCCGCCCCCACCCAGGCCCCGCCCACCTGTCTGTCTTGGAGCGGCGCTCCACGGAGGTGATCTTGAGTTCCCCATCGATCTTGGGCCGGCCATAGTGGGCCAGAGACTGGTCCTAGGCAGCAGGCAAGGAATCCGGCAAGGGGCCACCAAGGAGGAGACCAAACTCCCTCCCTGCGTGGCCACGCCCCTGGCCCTCCCAGCCCCATCCCCTCACCAGGTTCTCAATAGACAGCTGGAAGTTGGTGATCTGCCGCAGCGTCTCATTGTCCCGCTTGACCTCATTCACGCACTGCGCCAGGTCCTGGGGATTAGCCAGGTGTGAGTCTGGTAACCCCCACCCAACCCAGCCCCCTAACTGACCAGGGATAGAGTCAGCCCCCATCAGGGCCAGCAAGAGTCTTAAAATCAGTGTCCAGCCTGTCCAGTGCGACTCAGCATCGACTTATGAACCAGTAGGTCATGGTTGGATTCCCGGTCAGGGCACATGCCCAGGTTTTGGGCTCCATCCCCAGTGAGGGGCGTGCAGAAGGCAGCTGATCAATGATGAGAAATCATTGATGTTTCTATCTCTCCCTCTCCTGTCCTCTCTGAAATCAATAAAAATATATTTTTAAAAAGACAGTGTCCACAGCATGTCAGTGTCCTCAGGGGGATGCTGTGAATAACTTATCACACAGGCATGTGGCCCTGTGGGGGGAGGTGCTGCCCATGGATGTGACTGTGTCTGGGTGGCACTGCACTGTGCTGTCCTGTATGCGTGTGACTGACACCCCAGTGTGTGACCACTCACCCTCATTGCATCCAGAGCGAGCCGCAGATTCTCCTTCTCCATTGCATCCTGCGTGTGTTTCACCAGCTCCTGCATGACCCACAGAGGCAGACATTACCTGGGCCTGTCCTCTCCCTCCAGGCCTTCCATCCTTCTCCCTCCTCCTGCTGTCCCAGGAGGCCAGGCATGGTCCCAGTGACCCTCCCAGAGGACCCTAGAGTCCAGCCTCCAGAAGCCAGCCCCACCCTCGCTCCTATGGCACAGGGAGGTAGAGATGCCAAGCCCATAATCTTTGGACCTAGGAGGTCCCCAACTGTGCACCTGGAGAAGGAGGTGGTACTTGAGCACTCGCTGCATTGGCACCATCAGCAGGTCCCGCAAGGTGAACCTCCCATTGTTTGCTCGCTGAGAACATTCCTGTGGGATCAGAGAACCAGATAAGCAAGATGGCAGGTGTGGATTTTTCTAGAGCGAGAAGCATCCTATCTCCCCTGAGGAAATACAGATGGAAGAATGCCATGGGGTGGAGGCCCAGGACCCGCCAGCTGAGTGGGGCTGGAGAGAGGTGGGGGGACAGGAATGGAGGGTCCCCATCATGCAAAAAGGCTGGGTGCATGGGGCACACGGTATTCCTCACCACCCCTGCCCTCTCTGTGCTTCCACCACACACGGGTCCAGGTTGGGGCTAGTCCAGGGTCGGAGCTCAGTGTGAATTTGGAGCTCAGCCCAGACTTGGTGCACAGCCAGGACTGGGGCTCAGCCCAGGGCTGGGGTTCAGTTTGGAGTCAGAGTTCAGCTCAGGGTCAGGACCTCAGCCTGGCGTCAGGGCTCAGTGCTTCAGTCCATTTCCTCCTGCTCTAGTACCTCCTTCCCCAAACCCCCGATGGGAAGATCCCTGGCTGCACTGAAGCAGAAAGCGATGCCATCTCCTACTGTGTGTTCTCCCTGCTGCCCCGGGGCCCGTGAGGGAGTGGGAGAGCACCCCCCGCATTGGGGCCCGGCCCCGACCTCCAGCTTCATCTGTACATCCTCCCGGGCGCTGGCCACGCGGTCCAGGTGCTTGCTGGCCGACTCCACCTGGCTGCAGTAGCGGCCATAGATGAGGAACCTGCGGGAAGGGGACAGGTAGCAGTGGCCGGACAGGTAACGGTGGCCGGCACCAAGGTCAGGCAGCTCTGGGCGTCAGTCCCACCCAGCCCACCCCTTCCCAGCGGGGTGATGCTGAGCCTCCGTCTCCCCGCCTATAAAATGGGCATAACAATAGCATTTCCCATGTGGGGTTATTATAACATTAAATGCGATAACGCCCAAGAAGCTCTTAGCACTGGGCAAATCATCTCTGCTCAATGTTCATTTACTTAATAAACTCATTGAGCACATACCATGTGCCAGGCCCTGTGCTAAGCACTTTAGGCATTGATTGACCAGTCCTGTACCACACGGACTTTACAGATACGGGAGCAGAAGCACAGAGACGTTAAGTGACTTCCCAGAACCACACACAGCTCGCCAAAGGCAAAGCCAGAGATTGAACCAGAGATGGTAGCCCCTTGCCCATGAGCAAAGAAAGGAAAACCCTCCCTGTCCAGTGGTCTCTACAGGAAAGTCCCTCAAACGCCCGGCCTGGGCAGGGCAGGGAGACCTTCAGGGGTCCCGGCTGGCCTCACCTCTCCTTGTATTTGATGAAGACCTGGTAGAGGGTAGGTGCACTGGTGGTGGCCAGGGCTTCCTTCATCTCCTTTAGGAAGTGAGTGTGCACACGAAGCAGGTCCTAGTCAGAGGGATGGGGTGAGGGCCGGGCAGAAGCCTGGGGCTCAGGAGAAGGGTCATCCACTCGCCCTGTGTTGCCCAATTCCCAAACCCCACACTCCAGGGACAGACGGGGCCAGCAGATGGCTCCCGGCTGACAGTAGCCCCGGAGGGGGGATCAGAGACCAGGTGAGCAGGATGGGGCAGGGGGGCTGGGGACAGGCCGGCGTACCTCGATGTTGATGAAGATGATCTCTATGTCTTCAGGTTTGAGGAACCGCTGCAGGGGCTTCATGAAGTGCTGCGGGGAGGGGAGAGAGGGATGGAGGAGGTGGGACCCTGCCTCCAGCCCCGTCCCAGAGCGGCAGGGACAGGGAGACAGAGATGGAGAGAGGTGAACAGAGAGACCAAGAGAAGAGACAGCGATACGGAGAGAGAAAAGAGAAAGACAGAGACAAGGACACAAAGGCAGGCAGAAAAAGAGAGACAGAGATGGAGAATGTGCACAAGCGAACATGTACGTGACTGTTCACAGCAGTTATTCACAACAGCTGCGAGTGGGATCAACCCGAGTGTCCATCAGTGGGTAACAAAATGCGGTCCATCCACACTGGAATGTCACTCAGCCATGAAAAGGAGAGAAGGACTGACGCTCACTGCAACGTGGATGGGCCTTGAACACAGGATGCTCAGTGAGAGAAGCCAGACACAAGAGGCCACAAATTGTGTGATCCCATTTATAGGAAATAGGCAAAATAGGCAAATTCAAAGAGACAGAAAGTAGACTACTGGTTGCCAGGGGCTGGGGGAGGATGGGGACTTAGGGGGAGGGAATGGATAAGGAGTACGGGGTTTCTTTGGGGGATGATGAAAAGGTTCTCAAATTAAATAGTGGTGATGGTTGCACAGCCTTGTGTTTATACCTAAAGCCAGTGAATTGTGTATGTTACATGGGTGAATTGTACGGTATAGCAATTACAGCTCAATGAAGCTGTCTAAAAAGCAATGGCCAAAGGAAATAGAGAAAATAGAAAGTCAAAGACAATAATGGAGACAGAGATGAGGATACACAGAGGGGAAAGGAGACAGATGGAGAGAGAAACAAGTGGCAAAAGCCATAGAAAACCAGGGAGGCAGAGAGACACACACCAAGCAGGGCGTGGCCCCACAGGCGCGGGACAGGCGGACGCACCTGCCGCCCGCTCCCACGCATGCGCCTGGCAGGGGCGGGGTGGGGCATCGCACCTGTTGGATGGAGCCTAGCGTGTCCGTGTACTTCTCCTCCGTCTGCTGGATCTCTCGCAGGCAGCAGCACCGCTTGTCGTAATCTGTCATCTTGGGCTGAGAGCGGGGAGGAGAGGCCGGTGTTGGGGGACCCGGGACTGCCCTTTGGCCGTGCACCCACCCAGGCCCAGTCCTTCACCCCCACACACCGGCATGGGCACCGGCTCCGAGCGCATGAGGTCCTCATAGATCTCGTCGCCCTCGGCCTCCTCGTTCTCCACGCAGTCATACAGGTCCTCATCCTCCTCCACGGTGTCGCTGCAGGACGCAGAGTCAGGCAGGGCCTCAGGAGCCCCCAGGCCAGGGGCCCCTCAGACCCCTCCCAGATCAAAGCGGTGGCCCCTTAAGCCCCAAGGGCAGGATCATGTCCCCCTCAGACCTCCTGGCCCCTCAGACCGGCAGGGCAGGGCCTGGTGCAGACACTCACTCAATCTGGTCGGACAGGCCGCTGTAGATGTCTTCATCCCCGACACTCTCCTCCTCCGTGGGGAAGGGCCTGGGGGAGCCAGGATGGTGTGAGCCAGAGGCCGGAGGGCCAGGTGGGGAGGGGGGGTTTCAAGGACGGGGAGGAAAGGGTCAGCCCAAAGCTGTCTGTCACCTCAGTGGTTACTCACATGATCCCCTTGTTCTGGGCAATCTGGGTCCAGGACAGGGCGGACAGGGTGTAGATGACCTGTGATGAGGGCCGTGTTTTGCTCAGCAAGCCCCTGGCCCACCCCCATGCCAGAACAGCCTTGCACTCCAAGCAGCTGAGGCTGCACCTTGACGTTAGACCCCCCCAGGCCTCTGGAAGCCTAAATCAGGATGTCCTCCACCTTCCCAACCCCCCATGTCAGCATGTCAGCGTTCCTATTATTCTATTTATTTCCCATAAGCACTCAAAGAGGATGGGATGATATTACTCCCTAGGACTCAGAGAGGTGCGGCCACATATCTGAGGTCACACAGCAAGTGGTGAAGCAGGGACTCGCACCCGATTCCACGTCTCCTAAGCCAGACTCTCTGCACTGGGACCCGGTAGGGCACATCGGTCCTTCCCCTACCTGCTCATAGCCTGCCTGGTGTCGATGTTCATGGAAATAAACTCAAACCCAATCTGTGGGCTCTACGCGCCCAGCTCACCTTCCCGAAATCCTGCACATCGAAGAGGTCAAAGGCCTCAAAGAGCTCGCTCCTCTTGAGGCCAAACTTCTCACAGCAGGTAGACAAGAAGGTGCGGATGTTCTTAAGGCACAGGAACTGTGGGCAGAACAGTAATGAGGGCGGGAAACATAAAAGGACGGGGAGAAGCCGAGCCCCTGCAGTCTGACTTGGTGACCCGCTCGGAAGGGGAAGCCTAAAGCACAGCCCCCTCAGTAAGCCACCCTCTTCTGATAAAGACCAAGCTGTCCCTGAGGCCAGAGCTACCCCTCAATTTTTTTAGTTCACATGACATAAAGTTAACCACGAACTGGTAACCAAACATCTTCTATATATATATATATAAATGAAGTAATATGCAAATTAGGCCAGGATGCTGTAACGGTCAAGACCAGCTCAGGAGGAGGGGCCGGGCGAGGCCCGGAGCCTGAGAGAACAACACGCAGGGGGTCCGGCCCCCAGCCCCAGCCCCTCGACCATGGCACTGAGCTGCTGGGACTGGAGCGAGTGGAGACACAAACCCGCAGGGGGGCCGGGTTCAAATCTGATCAAGGGCATGTACCTAGGTTGCAGGCTCCTCCCTGACCGGGGCCCAGGTCAGGGCTCATGCAGGAGGCAACCAATCAAAGTGTCCCTCTCACATTGATGTTTCTCTCTGTCTTTCCCTCTCTCTTCCACGCTCTCTAAAAATCAATGGAAAAATATCCTCAGGTGAGGATAAAAAAAGAAGGAAGAAATGTCATATCCTATGAAAGAGACATCTTGAAAATGCCTAAAGAAAGTTGTCATTTTTTCGTGGTGAAGGGACTGGAGTCTGTGTTAATGAAAACACCTTGGCGGCTTCGGTGGCCACAGTGACAGCAGTAGCGGGGTGATGGGGGTGGTGCCTTCCCCTGATCAGCCTGGTTGCCTCCCACAGAGGGAGGCCCACAGGGAGCGGGCCTAAGTTGTCAGTAGGACATCCCCTGAGGGCTCCCGGACTGTGAGAGGGGGCAGGCTGGGCTGAGGGACACCCCCCCCCCAGTGCACAAATTTCGTGCACTGGGCCTCTAGTGCTATAATAAATGCAAATGAAAATTATTCAGCCATTAAAAAGGAATGGGGTTTTGATTTATGCTACCACATGGATGAACCTTGAAACATTATGCTTGGTGGAATAAGCCAAACACATAAGGACAAATACTGTATGATTTCACTCATATGAGATCCCTAGAGGAGTCAGATCCACAGAGACAGGAAGTAGATAGTGGGAGCCAGGGGCTGGGGGAGGGGGATGGGAGTTAGTGTTTAATGGGCACAGAGTTTCAGTTTTGAATGATGAAAAAGTTTTGGATATAGGGGTGATGGTCACACAACAATGTGAATGTATTTAATGCCACTGAATTATACACTCACAAATGGTTAAAATGATAAATGGTCATTTTATTTACATATCATTAATATATTTTGATACATATTTTATTTATAAAACATATATTTATATCATTTTAGTTATATATAAATTATATATAAATCTATAATAATAAAAGCATAATATGCTAATTAGACCAGACCGAATGACCTTCCAGACACCCTTCCAGATGACCTTCCGGACGAGGGCCAAGGCAAGCTGCGAGGGCCGAGCCCCCCTTGCACGAATTTCATGCATTGGGCCTCTAATATATATGATATATATTTTACCACAAAGAAAACGTTTAACAATTAATCATTTTGAAGTATACACTACAGTGGCATTTAGTACATTTGCAGCTATCACCCCAGTTCCAAGACATTTTTATCACCCCAAAAGGAAACTCAGTACCCATTAAGCAGTTACTTTCCATTCCCTACTCTTCTCCCTTCCTCTTGGCAACCACTAGTTTGCTTTCTGTCTCTTGAATTTACCTATATCCATCCACTGATAAATGGATAAACAAAATGAGGTATATCCATACCATGGGACATTATTCAGCCATAAAAAAGGGCAAAGTTGCCCTGGCCGATGTGTTGTCAGTTGGTTGGGCATTGTCTCATGCACTGAACAGTTGCTGGTTCAATTCCTGGTCAGGGCACATGCTTGGGTTGTGGGCTCAATACCCATTAGAGAGCGTGCAGGAGGCAGCTAATCAATGTAGTGCTCTCACATCAATGTTTCTCTCTCTCTACAAAACAATTTTTAAAAATCTTTAGCCCTAACCAGTTTGACTCAGTGGATAGAGCAGGGGTGGGCAAACTTTTTGACTCGAGGGCCACAATGGGTTCTTAAACTGGACCAGAGGGCCAGAACAAACAAAAGCATGGATGGAGTGTTTGTGTGAACTAATATAAATTCAAAGTAAACATCATTAGGGTACGGTCTTTTTTTTTTTTTAGTTTTATTCATTTCACACGGGCCGGATCCGGCCCGCAGACCGTAGTTTGCCCACGGCTGGGATAGAGTGTTGGCCTGCGGACTGAAGGGTCCCAGGTTCAATTCTGGTCAAGGGCACATGCCCGGTTTTTGGGCTCAATCCCCAGTAGAGGGCGTGCAAGAGGCAGCCAATCAATTATTCTCTCTCTTCATTGATATTTCTCTCTCCCTCTTCTTTCCTCTCTGAAATCTTAAAAAAAAAAAGGGGGGGAACAGTACTAATACACAAAGTGGATACCTTCAAAAACATGAGACTGAGTGAAAGGAGCCAGACACAAATGGTCACATCTTGTATGTTTCCATCTAAATGAAATACCCCTGAACTCTTCCAGGTTCTGAGCCGACATATTCCTTTGTTGATTACACCAGTTTGGGATGGGTTGCTGTGACTTGCAACCAAAAGACATCAGCAGTCAGACACGCAGGTTGTCACACTGGTTTGGAGGGTATTTGGCTCTGTTATAAACAAGCCCTCGTGCCCTTGCATTTGCCCAATATCAGCTCACTTCAAATGCCCCAAAGGGCTCAGCTCTCTCTACGGTCCCTCAGATACTACAGATTTCTAACCAATCTCCCGAACAGCAGCCTCCCCCAGCGTGAAGAGCTGGCCTCTCCCATGACCAACATTTCTGGAGCAGGTTCACCAGGAGAGCTGGTTAAATGAGTCTCTCAACACCACGTATTATGTGATCACACTCATACGAAATGTCCAGAACAGGCAAATCCACCCTGGAATATGACTCAGCCTAAAAGGGAGTGAGGCACTGACACTCACTACATGGATGGACCCTGAACACACGACGCTCAGTGAGAGAAGCCAGACACAAAGGCCACACCGTGTGTGATTTCATTTCTGTGACATGTTCAGAACAGGCAGATCCGAAGAGACAGGAAATGGGTTAGTGGTTGCCAGGGGCTGGGAGGGGAGAATTGGGGTTGACGGCTAATGGGGATAAGGTTTCTTTGGGGGACGATGACAATGTCCTGGAATTAGATAGTAGTGATAGCCGTACAATTTTGTGAATATATTAAAAACCACTGAACTGTACACTTTAAAATGGTGAATTTTATGGTATATGGATTATATCTCAATTAAAAAAGTGCATCTTCCAGGTTCTTCCCCCTCATATCTACTCAGTCTGTGGACAACTGAGTTAGGTCCATCCCTCCTCTGCCCACAGCCCTCCAGGGCTCCCACCTCCCTCAGGGTAAAAGCCTATATTCTCCCCGAGTCCACAAGACCTGCATGACCTCCCCCATCACCCCTCTGCTCTCACCTCCTGCCTCTCCCCCCACTCACTCCTCTCCAGCCACAGGGGCCTCCTCACTGTTCCTCCAACATGCCAGGCACAGTCCTGCCCCAGGCCTCGTTATGCCCGCTCCTTGGAAGGTACTTTTCCCTGTGTTACGGACTGACTTGTATCCCTCAAAATCCACATGTTGATGTTTTAACCCCCAGGACATCAGAATGGGAGTGTGTTTGGAGACAGAGCCTTTAAAGAGGTAGCTGAGGTAAAACGAGATCACGAGGGTGGACTTGAATCCAATAGGATTGGAATCCTCATAGGAAGAGACCGGGACCCAGATATGCACAGAGGAAAAATCCCGTGAGGACACAGGGGGAAGGCAGGCATCTGCAAGCCGAGGACAGAAGCCGCGGAAGAAACCAAACCCACTTATGCCTTGATTTGGACTTCCAGTCTCCAGAGAGGAATAAATTTATTAAGAAATAAATTCCTGCTGTAGAGATCCCCCCGTCTGTGGACGTTGCTGTGGCGGCCTGGTCAACTCGGACACGCTGGTGTCCACCAGGTTCCTTGCACCTTCTTCAGGTCTTTGCTCGAAGGTCACCTTCTCCAGGAGGCCCCCTCTGAGCGCTCTATGTAAAATTGCAACCTTCTTCCACTCTGTGCTTTACTGTTCACCTCCCCCAAATAAAATGGGCGAGGGCAGGATCACTGTTCTGTTCCTTGGTAGATGCCCAGCACTTAGAATAGTGTAGAGGACCCTTAAGAAATATTTGTTGAATGGATGGGTGGCAATGAGGCTTGGAAATCTGTCTTTTAACAAGCTCCCCAAGTGATTTCTGGGTCCCTGCTAACCCCACTCTGTGATTCTACAATAACATTTGCATTTTTAGCCACCTGTTACCTGTGGTTGGCCATTAGATTTATTCCGTTCTCATGACAACCCTGTGAGTTTTTATTTATTATTTATTTAGTTAGTTAGTTAATCCTCACCCAAGGATATTTTTTCCATTGGGTTTTAGAGAGAATCAAAAGGAAGGAGGGAGAGGGAGAGGGAGAGAGAGAGAAACGTTGATGTGAAAGAGACACACGACTGGCTGCCTCCTGCACGAGCCCTGACCTGTCTAGGGATCGAACTTGCAACCCAGGCACATGCCCTTGACTGGGAATCAAATCTGAAACACAAGCCAGGGCAACCCTGTGAGTTTTTAATGCCCATTTTCCCTATGAGGTTTTCCCTATGAGGAAGCAGGCTCGGAGGAGGAAAGAACGCTGGCCAAGATTATGAACAGCAAGAGGAAAGCCACAGAGACTTTGTGAAACGAAGCTCCAGGATGCTGTGAATCTAGAGACGGCTTTCTGAATCACAGCACCACCAGTCATGCACGCGATCCCCAGCACTATCTAAGTATTTATTAAAATCAAATACTTTAAAATAAGTTACATATATATATAAGGTGTAC